TCAACCTTATTGACTTCTCGGCCAACACTTTGTTCCAACTCGAATACTGCTAATTTGTCTCTTAATGCTTCCAAGGCTTCTTCCTCATTCGCCTTGTCCTTATGTTCTTTATTAAAAGCCATTAATTTGGCTTTGAAGGCCTGAATATCGGTCATTTGCTTTTGTTGCTTAGAACTCATTCAAAACTCCTTGATTATTCTTTTGCCAATTAGTGACTCCTCTAGGGCCACTATGTTTGGCCTCATCTGACTGAACATTTCAGTGAGTGCATCCACCGAAAACAGCTCTTTACTCTGCGCGACAATCTGAGTTTCTTCTCCATCTTGGATTACTCTGATAGGTCCATAATTTTCTTCGTACATGAACATTTCCACTGAGTTTGCTTCTGCGACAAAAGGCCTATGATCGGTCTGCACCACATCTGCTTCGCCCTTATCATTCCAAAAAACTAGGCATTGATGGAGCGATGAGGGTATACAGCGACTTCCGTGTATCCAATCTCTTCCTAATAACACATTGTAACTAGTGAGACCATCTATTACAAAGAAGACTGTGGTCCTAGTAACTGTTCCTATAGTTATGTCAAATGGCATAACCCCTTTAGCTGAAGTTGCTCCTCCATTGAAACTTGTTAGGATAACTTCCTTTGGGATCATATCACCTTCTGTCTTTGCGAATTTCCTCATCATCCTAGATGGAATGGTGTTTATAGATGCTCCATTATCGACAAGCACTTTTGCCACAGGTATGTCGTTAACTAGAGCTTTAACGTTCAATGGCTTCAAGTGTTTGGTCAATTTCATGGCTGGTCACTTAAAAATAACCTTTTCGGCAGCATCTATTTCCACTTCCTGCTTGTTCTCTGTTGAGTTACCCTTTTGTGAGAAGTCAACGTGCAGCATATCGCACTGAGCCTCTGTCTCCTGAATTTCCTTTTTACTGTTTTCTAATGCTTCTTCTTCAGTTACCCAACCTGTGGGAGGAGGCATTATTCTTGGAGGTGATCCATACTTTTCAGAGCGAGGCACTCTCTTCTTCCTTTTGGGCATCCCGTATAGCACGTAATAATCGAAAGAACGCCCAGATAGTTCTCCCAATAAATCTACTTCACGAACTCCCTCTCGATGTAGTTGCTTCAACAGAGTATAGTACGATACTCCTCTTCTTCTCCTTTCTGCTTCCAGATCGATTTCCTCTTCGATGTCTGTCATACCATCATCTTCTTCACCATTGTAGGCCTCTCTAGAAGTTTGGCCTTCTTCATATTCTAGCATGCATGCTTCCTCTTCGTTATCCTCATTTTCTTCTTCTCCTTCTCTTTATTCTTAAACTCATTGGCTAGTAAATAGTTATTAGCTACGACAAGAGGTAACGTACCAAACTGAATAGTAAGGGACTGATCTGGATCTTCTCCATCCCTTCTGTCTCGCTCAAACTTCGACCTCCCAGAAGAAGTCTCTGGCAATTCTTCCATAGGTTCTCCTGTACCAGTCTCTTCACTGTCTTTGAGAACATTTCGATTGGCTGCCTCGAGTAGTCTAGGTGCCTTAGGATGTAGCATTCCCTATTGTTGCCTCATCATTCGTCCATAGTTCCGTTGAAAACGCCTTTTTTGGGTTCTAGTCATCTCGTTGAAAGGTATCGCCCTTCCAGCCTTATACTGGAATGAATGCCATACATTTGGTTGGCGAGGTTGCGGTCTGAATGTTTTTCCATTATTTACTAGCCTGAACCGCCTCTCAAAAGGCGGTCCCTTATAGAACGATGTACCCCGCCCTCTACCAGGTTGAGCGTTTGGGGAAAAACTAGGGCGATGGTGATGCTGCCATATCCCTGGTTTCTCTGCATTTGCACTCATTTCTTTTTTGCATCTTGCACATAGGACGTCTTCGTCCTTTTTGGGCTCCTTCCCTTTGATACGTTCAAAGACACTGGGATGTGGTCCAAGGTCTTCTTCTCCATCATCTATAACCAACTTAAATTTTGGCAACTTGTTTTTGAAACCAGACGTCACCATGTTCACTCCAAGTGGCTGTGGAAAAGGATTTTCATCCACTGCCATCTTCCTCTTATCCTCGAATGTAATTCGTCCTGATTCAATGGCATCCTATAACACATGGCGAAAACCAGACAGTTTTAGTCAAATGTGACCATGCATTATGCCACTTACAATATTTTTTACCCTTAACTTGTTCAGGGCTTGGCAATTTATGCTTATCGCTCAGCTTTATCTGTTTATCCTTATATAATTTATCAAATATAAGGTCAGTTTTGGTTACATCGAACGAGAACGTTCTAGCGTTTATGTTTTCATCTTTTATAAGCTCATCCTTGCCCGACGATCTAGACTTAGCCATCATAGGACAAGTATATGTGTCTCCTTTAACTAATTCGGCCAAACACATTTCGGTTTGATCGTAATACTCGTCATTAATGGTATGAACATCAAAATTTGGGTCTCTATAATAAGTCCCCTTGCTAGAATTTTTCATTTGTTCCTCTTCTCTTATTAATCGTTCATACCTAATCACGTTATCCCTCAATTGGAAAAGATCAGGAAATTCCTTGTCTTGGAACTTCTTCTTCAAATCAAAGTTTAGACAACCTTGAGCGATTTTGACAGACTCCTTTTCGGGCAAATGTACAAAACATTTACTTCTTATTGTCTTGAATCTTTGAAGGAAACCTTCTGCCCATTCGTTTGGCATTTGATGTAGATTCGCCAAATCGATCAAAGTAATTTCAGACTCAGTCTTATAAAACTGAGCGTGGAACAATTGCTCCAATTGTTGCCATGTTTGAACAGAGTTTGCTGGCAAATTGATGAACCAGGAGAATGCTACTCCTGTTAATGAACTAGGGAATAACATCATTTTATGGTAATCAGTTACGTCACCACTTTACAGTGTGAATCGCCCTATGTGTTCTAGAGTAGACACCTCTCCTAAACCGGTAAACAGCGAGAATTCTGGCACTTTATACCCTCTAGGCCATGGATATGCTTGGTCTACCCAATCAGGATATGGCTTTGTGTAAATCGGCCTAATGACAGGACGTACTCCAAAAACCATCTGGTCCTGTACGATTTCCATAATCTGATTCCTCAACATGACGTTGGGTTCATATGGAATTCCTACAGGTTGGTTGACCGGTTGATTTACTCGAGGCCTGATGTTTGATCCTTGGTTGACAACAAAGTTGCCATGATTTGGGCCATTGTTACCATTAGCCTGAACATTTATTCCATCATTAACACGTGGGGTATTTTGCCCGTTATTTAGGACATTATCTCTTACATTTAGGTTACATTATCTCTTACATTTAAGTTAGATGTACCAATGCCACTATTCTGATTTGGTATTACACCACCCCTCTGGTTTGAAGTAGAGGGATCAAAAGGTGGTCTACCCCTTGATTTAAATTTAGGACTGGGGGATTATGTCCCACAATTATCTTAGTTTGAAAGTGGTTTGCAAGAGGCACAACTGGCTGACAAATTTGGCCTACTAACTTATTCATTATTTCGTTCAAAGTATTCAGTTGTTTGGCCATGTTGTCATAATGTGCATTCCCATTTTGGGTAAATCTTTCCATATTATGAATATTTCGTAGATTTACTTGTTCAACGACATCTTGTGTGAGTTCTTCGAGTAATGCACGCATGGTTTGAGGACTCAACTCTGTCATTGGTTCGTAACGACTATGATTGCTTTGATTCTGTCCATCTGTTCGTGGAAAGCTATGCTGCTCCTCATATCGCTCGATCACAGACTGGACTCCTCCCTGACTTGCTGCTTCCTTATCGAATTTCTGAGGCATATTGTTTCACATTTTGTATCTTCAACACCAAACACCAAGGTCCCACTGGGCGTGCCAAATTGTTTCGCGCGGGTAGTCGCTAACAATTCAAAAGGGATCAGACGATTGTGTAAGGAACAAACATCTTGAGATAAAGTCCCAAAAAGGGGTGTTTTATTGGCGATGACTTTACAATTGGAAGTTAAACAGAATGCCTCCAAGGGGCGCAAGCACACGAGTACTGAAAAGAAATGTTTAAGTCTAAACTAAGAAATTGAAATTACATATTCTCTGTTTGAGAGTGTTTGATTCAGGCTCCTTTGCTCTATGTCTTCTTTTCCTTTTATATTCTCTTGATGATTTCTTCGTGATCAACCGCTTAGGAACTGCTTGATTGTTTTATAACTACCAACTTCCTTCATGGTGGCCAACTTATCGTGGAACTGTCGTCTCTAACTGCTGCCACTACTCTTTGTCGTTCAACCGTCTTCAACTAAACTTCTTGAATCGTGGAACGTGATAAGATTACTCAATAACTGTTTCGATAACTGCACTTTTGGATAACCATAACATCTTATGTTTGTTAAGATCCTGGGCGATTCGAAGGTTTGGGCGAGAACAGGGTCATAACTCTGGGCGACTGCAAGACACTTCATTCGTTCAGATCTTGGGCGTCTTGCAAGTTTGGGCGATGGTGTTACCGCGTTCGTGGGCTTCCACTGCATTCATTAATAATCCTATTTGGGCCTTTATCCTGAATTGTCCAGTTGGGTTTCATTCTTTGGGCTGCACTTTTAGCGTGTCAACAAAACTAAAAACATCTTTTTACTTTTTGCATGTCAATCATTCTTTCTTTTTAACATTTGAGATAAACATATTCCATTAGTTAAACCGAAAGTAGTAGACAAACTGAGCAAATATAAAGGCAAATCGGAGTTTGGTGAGTCAATTGCACCAAATTGAAGATGGGTGTTTTAGATGCACCTCCGCTCAAAGTTGGATGACCCTTGACCTACCAACCTTTCAAGTTTGGAAAAAAACGAAAAAAACCTTATATATCATCGACCCTTGACCTACCAACCCTACCCTGCAAAAATAAAAATAAAAAATAAAAAAAATAAAAAAATAAAAAAATAAAAAAATAAAAAAGAAAAAGGAAAAATCTCAACCGTCTTTCAACTTTGAAAAAGAAGCCCCCAAAGGATTTAAAAAGGAAAGAGCCGAAAGGCCTTTCCGCTCTATATTTTCATTCTGCATAGTTCTTACAGCCTGTTCAGAAGTTGCACCCTTTCCATTCTCTCTTCTTCAGCTCTATTAAAATGGTATCTTTCTATTCTCTTTCACACGCACACACTTCTTGTGTAAATTTTATCTGTCATATATACATATCATATTTGAATAAATTCCTTCGTGTCCGAATGGATATACAGAAAAAACCAAACTTCGATAATTCTGAGTTTTATGTATATGTCTCGAAAATGTTTTTCTTCCTTCCGGCCGGCAACTTATGCCAGTTTTCCGGCGAAATATATTTTGGCGTGTGACATAGAATATAGATAATAAATTCTTCATCATATTACTGTATAGTTCAAGTTGTTGATATATATATTTACTTTAACTTCGATTTATCTTTACTCCACAAATTAATTAAACATGCTATTTTTTCTCTTGATCGTGTTCATGGTTTTTTCTTAATCATTTGCAAAATGATTATTTTATTTAATTATGATTAGACTTTGTAAAAACTGTGTGCTGTCATTTGCTACTTCTTTTTGTAACTTTCGCCAGCAGGCAAGCTTAAATTTAATAAATTAATTGTGGCTCCACTTGGAAGTATACACATATATTATCTTAACTTACTCTTTTCTTGGAAATTCAGACTATAGTTATAAATAATTGTAATTATCTATGAATTTCTTAAGTTAATTCTAATATATGTAAACACACACACGCACATTATTTTTGACTTTTGAAACACATTGCTTAGTGGAGCAAGTAAATTGTGTGTGGCTTTACTTTAAAGATTTGGCATAGGAGATAAGATAGAGAATATCGAGGTAGAAAAATTATTAGCACCTTGCTTACATAAATGTCCACATTATAGATGGAAATAATTTTAACAAATATAAATGAGTTTTGCTACACGTACATCAGGGTTGACACTCCGATGTATACTCACCTCACATGAGAGGTGAGTGTCACATGGGCCCTACAACAATAAAAAAATTTGGGATCTTCCATGTGAGGAGAGTGTACACCAGAGTGTCAACCCTGGTATACAAATAGCATTTTCTAATATAAATTTAGTCCTCTTTTAATCTTTTTGACAGCATTTGTGAATCATTGATCCCCTAAACCTAGAGCAAGAATGCCTAAAAATTAGGTGGTGGGGAACCTGTGATCCAGTTGAGGCATAACTCGTGATTTACCCTCTCCAAGGTTTTAGGAGCAAGGGTCTAGGGGGTCCAAAATTTACTCTAGTGTAAGATGGGATACCTGGATATCAAAATAAAAAAATGCCTAGAAATTATAGAGATTTTTCAATAATTTTCAGCACATGTACTCAACTTATCACGTTTATAAATATTGACAATTGACGGATACCTTTCAAATATACTTCATATCTAATACACTAGAACATGTCATGTCAAGGACAATCATTACGAATTCTAGAATAAATAACAATCGACTCTCCTTTAATAGCTACATACAGGTCTTAAAAATAAAGTATTCTCCGCCCTTTCATCCCCATCTATTCGAACCAATCTATTATAAATTGTCTTGTATTAGTTAAAAATTCAAAATAAAATTCTATAATTTGTGCATATAAGTTGCATTAAATTAATTTCTTGGGATATTTTATGTTGTGATGTAGGTAACTGATGGGGTAGTTCTAACTGCACCATTATCACTGGAGGGAGAGGATTCTGATGCAAATTATAGAGCTCCTAATGTTCTTAAACGAATTTTAAGTCTACTTAATAATGTACGGCCAGGATCTGATCTCACTCGACTTCAGGCAAGTCATTTATAATTGTTATTTATTTTCTAAATAAAGATGTGTCGTTTAAATTTTATTCGTGTTCGCTGTACTTCAATTCATTTGAATCAAGTCACCATACATAATTTTTAAGAGCTATGGCCATGAGTAGTTGATGTCTTCGTAAGCATTTGACTTCATTTAACTTGACGAAATTGGATGAAGTGACCCAAATTGAGACAAAATTAAAGTATAATTACCCAATTGACACAAATTGAAGTACATTTATCGACCCAATTTAAATTTGAGTAAAAGTATAGTTTCCGCCGATGAAATTCCATGTATAATTTTGTTTTATTTTATAGTGTTATTATGTCATCTTTACTTTTTTCTTGATTTCAAGTTCAGTTGCCACCAATGTTCAACCTTCCAAAGTCTCAGCTTCAATGTTATGGAGAATCTGTGTATTGCAATAACAGTGACATTTTGAGCAAATGTGCTAAACAAGAAACTTCTCTAGAGAGATTCACAAGTGTTGTAGCATGGAGCATATCCACTATGCGTCCTTTGATGTTCGGCGTGGCTCCTTACAATCCTGTCCTCGGAGAGACTCACCATGTCTCGAGGGGAACTCTGAACGTGTTGCTCGAACAGGTACATCGGATTAATTTTTTGACTACTCTATGTTATGATATACGTCGATTTGATGATCTACTCTTTATGGATTAAATCCTAATGTCAACTTATGAGACCATCGGAAACCTACGAAATGGTAAAAGAACTAATAATACAATGTATATATAGTGATTTACTCTCAATGTGAAAGCTACGTCTTATTCACCGGTTTTCAGTCTAATGGAGATGGAGAGTACAAATTTTTTTGTACACCTCATGCACGCACAAAAAAGGGCCCTATGAAAGCCGTTTAGCCCCTGTTTGAATCATTAGAAAGAGTTTTCTAGGGAAAATGAGTTTTGGAACAATATTTTTTTGGAGAATTTATGGTTAAAAGGTGGAAAAAAATTTTGGTTTACATGCAAAATATTTTATTGTGAGAATATGTGATTGAAAATGAGTTTGAGAAAAAAGAGTTCTGTCTTAATGATTGTCAAACAAGGGCTTATATAGTAATAATGATGATGTTACCAAATAGGCTAAAACTCTTAATAATAATTACTTTATATTTAATTTAGGAGCCTAATACTTTGACGACATATTTGGTCCGCATTGCATTTATATTTCTTCTTTCATCTTATATATCCAATCTAGCATGCCAAACATTGACTGAGGGATCATTCCTTCATGTTATTAGGTTTCGCATCACCCACCAGTGACTGCTCTTCATGCAACAGATGAGAAAGATAAGGTGGAGATCATATGGTGTCATCGTCCCGTACCAAAATTCTATGGTATTTGATTATCTTCTCTAACTCTTTCGCGTTAAAATGTTGATTAGTTATTGACGAAACCTTTACAACTTGAGTGAGATATAGAAATTCCGGTTAGATGGGCTATAATTTTAGTTCTTCTTATATTGGAAATTTACAACTTCATACAAGTATTGGTAGGCGATAAGAATGGGGAAATAAACCGTATGATACTAGTGTTAGAGAGGTATCTTGGGTACTTGACGGACGAGTTTACTTTTTATGAAATGTCTTAGACGTGCAGAATTTTGATAAATGAATAGAGGGAAGATAACAATTCAGGGACCTTCATTGATTATCACTCATGTTTTCTGAAGCTTAGAATAACTTGAATTACATTTCAAAATCTAAACATGTGTGAATACCTGATTGAAATTTTCATAGGCACTCATATTGAAACTGAGGTGCAAGGAAAAAGGCAGTTGAAGATCCTTGATAGGAATGAAACTTACATAATGAACTCACCAAACCTTGTGATCAGATTCTTCCCTATGCCCGGTGTTGACTGGTTGGGAAATGTCACAATCAAATGTCAAGAAACTGGCCTTGAAGCTGAGTTAAACTACAGAGGCAATTCGTTTTTACCTCGACCATCTGTCCATCGATCTATAAAAGGAAAAATCGTCATGTCATCTTCTTCCAAGACTATTTATGTTGTTGATGGCCATTGGGATAGGTATGTTAACATTCAAATATTGAGTTATTATGCTTTTTTAAACATCTGTTATTTTTCCCTATAGTTTGTGGGATGTTCTGTGAACCAAAGTCTGTTCTTGAAAATTCCTTTATTTATTTATTTTTTTTTATGAAAATTATATACTATATAAAGTTCGACTTTTTTAATCGAGAGGTCATGCATTCAACCGTAGTTATACGTATTGAAATAGATTCAGAGTCCCATTTATAAGAATGTGTGATCACAGTAGAACAAGTGGGAGGGATAGACCAAAATGCATGTTAATGTTCTAGTTGCTTTGGATCGTAGATCAATTTTCATTTGTTTCACTATGAGTTGGTATCTCATTTTTTTGTTCAATTTTCTCTTTCAATATGTAGAACTGTCACAGTGAAGGATATTTTCAGTGGAAAAGTAACAGTAATCTACAATGCAAAGGAGGCGATTTCAGGACTGAAGACTCCTATTGTTAATGACCCGAAGGTAATCAAATTCCAAAAATACAATTCTATCATTATACTAAGGTCAGCCACAAGCCAATGCCAATATGCCATGTTATGGACTTTGGCTTTCTCCTAAAAAGTGTCTCTTATAAGAGTTTATAGGGATGTCCGATATGGCTTGTTTAAAAGCATTTCTAGAGTAGGAACTTATTTAAAATTAGTTTTTGAACAACAATTAAGGTAGTCGTCTCCACAAACTCTTTTATAATAAGTAAAAGTAAAAGTCATGTCAAAAAGCTCCTATTATTGTTGTTGTTTCTTTATAGGAAATATCCACACACGTTTTCGTGCAATTGATTGTGCGATTTTTTGATATGCTTTAGGGCATCCTGCAAAGTGAATCAACTTTGGTATGGGCTGAGGTAAGCAAAAATATCCTTCAAAAATGCTGGGCTAAAGCAAAAGAAGCAAAGACATGTATTGAAGAAAGGCAGAGAGAGCTTGCTAGAGAAGCAAAGTTAAAAGGAGAAAGTTGGATTCCCAAGCATTTCACTATATCTCACAGCAAGGAAAGTGGATGGGACTGCTTACCAAATCAGAAGTTGGTCTGTTCCGCTCCAATAATTGTACCTCCGGTCGAGAGCCATGATGGTGGAGAATGTAATTAACCTTAATGGCATGCTTGGCACGATGAATTGAAAAGCACCGAATATTGTTAAAGAAAAATTGTTGAAATCGTGCTCATTATCATCTGCAATATTCGCATTGCCTACTCTTTATACTTATTCATACCCATACACTCACAAAATAGTATTGGTAGCTATAGTTATTTAGCTCTCGTTTGGTTCTAATTTTTCAAGCCAAAAAATCAATTTTTTGACCGTTATTAATATACTCAATCGTCATTTTTAACATTTTCACTCACAAGTAGGATCCACTTCTCTCTAACGATCAAAAAATTGATTCTCATAATCAGCACAAAACAGACTCTTAATATGTAAAGGAAGTTCAATGACATTGGGTAAATCAAGTGAGTCTACTTCCTCAAAGTACCTCAAGGTGGCTAACTGTCTTTCTTGGTATTCTTTTTCCCTGCTAAATCTATAAAATTTGCTAAAATATATTTTAACTTGGTATGTACAAAAGTAGTATGTAGATAAATATCAAACAAAATAAAGGGACTAAACAAGAAAGGAATATATACATCAATTAAAAACTAATCAGCACAACACAGATTGAAATCGTCAAAAACAATCAACAAGAAGAAATCTTTTACTGCAAAAATTTCATTATATACTCGGATTTTGGGAATTCTACTAGAAAGAAGAAACATTGAGAAATCTATATAAAACAATAGAAAACTGTCTCTGCTGGGGCCTAATTTGCAATTTCTACAAAGGTCACCCAAACAGTGCCACATAGTCCAGGGATGGGAATGTAACAAATAGCCCAAAATGGTGGAAAACAATTTAACACAAAATCTCCATCCCCAAGGAAGCACAACATTGGCAGCAAAGTTCTTCACACTCTTCAGCTAAGTTTAAAATCACATTCACAGCTCTGCCAGTTGCCCTTGGACTCAAAAAGAAGCCATCTTGGGGAGTGTACTCAATGCTATATCATGAGAGGCACTTTACAACAGCGAGAATGGAGACGAGAAGGGGATGAATGCAACTCTTGATTTGACCAAAGAATCAGAACTTATTTTTATCACTCCACTCAAATTGATGTATAATTGGGGAAAAGGAGCATCAAATTATCAAGAGTTTCAGGTAAGAATTTCCTTGCAAACAAGTAACAAGGTCGCTGCTTTCCATTCCACAGGCATGGCCTGATCTGAATTTCCTTCTGCAGCACAAAAGAATGATGGTCTTCTAAATACAAAAATTAAAAACTTCAAGAAAGCAATGTGTTTCATGGAAGATACTAACCACTTCTTCACTTGTAACGTGCAGACTCTCTGTAATAGACTACAAAAACAGTGGAAAGAAAGTGTCAATATAGGTTCATCAGTCAACAAAAACAAAAAATATAAAACTTGAATGCAACGTGAATGCAACAATTTTGCTCATTAAAATGTTTGGATTGCGAGGCGCACTGCCAACAAAGATGGACTTGATGTTATAGATGCAGATAAGTTGACAAAAATAACTTGCTTTTCCAGTAACATAGTTGAGTAGAAAATTTTCTATCATAAACTTGCATACTTCTCCTAGAACCATAAAAGTGCAGAATCTGCAGGGAAATTTGCCTAAATAACTCTTGGAAATAAGGTGGGTCATTGCACTTGAGAAAAACATAAAAATCAAATGCATTCAATGTAATATTTCTGTAAAAGCCGAGCCATACTGTAATATTTCTCATCAGCTCATAAGTAACATCTTTCTTGCGATATGATTTTGGATGCCACTTCCCTTCAGACCAATCCACGTGTGTTACTGACCAATTTGCAATTCCAGATGGATCAAGAATCTGAAAATGCAAGGGGAAATTATTTCCTTTAAAATGATTTAGAAAATTTACAAAGAAGCAGAAAAAAGAGGAGACTTAGAGTTGTCTTAAACAAAGAAATCATATGTTAACTATTCTCACATGGAAAAAAGTAGGCAAATAGTGTTCATCAGAATAGCAGTTGCGTCCATATTCCATACCTGGCTGTTAAAATCAGAAAAATAGATGTTAACAAGTGGTTGAGTGAACCGTATACAAAAAATAGTAGTAAAAATAAAAAATAAAAAAAATCGAACAAATATACTGTACTTGTATAAGTTGTTTAGAAAAATATCCACTCGTCGACTCATAAAATAAGTGATGACAGGCTCAATCTAACTAATTAATCACCAACTCAACTAGGACATAAGTATTCCAACAAAAACATAAACCCAAAGATTACAGTTATTTTCTCACATGAATAAAAGGAGAAACTTTGAAATGCAATTGGTCTAGGCTCATAAGCTTGAGGATATGGTATATACAAAAAATAATTTATGAGTGAGAAATGTTTAAAAAAGATTCCAAGAAAAACCTAAGAAATAAACTCAACATTAAAAGTAAGTAAACAAGAAGAAACTAAATTCACCTTGCAATAATCCCTGAATTTTGTATAGTAGAGACTATCAGCCATAATTATAACTGCATGTTGCCGCTTCACTGTGAACCACTGAAATATTCAAATAAAATCCATCATAATATAAATAGTTCAATTGAGAAATTAATCTAAAAGAAGAATGTCAAACCCTAGGTCCACTCAGAAGGAGACGATAGATGCATATGTAAGAGTGCACGAATTGAATAACTTGATGGGTATGTTCAAAGTCAAAGCTACAAGAACTGTTATAAGAGAATCAATATCTTAACTCCAGAACCTATTGCCTCTCTCCCTGGGAAGGTTCTAAGATTGTTTGTCTTGATTTCCAACCGAAAATTAGATGCTTTTTTTCGTTTCATTTCTTATTTTGCAGTTGAGATAACTTCGGCAATACGAATTTCATTTATGTTGCCAAAATGTCAGACATTTCTGTTTGCTTCCATTCATTAACCATTTATCCATTTCAAAGATTGAGCAATTGCCAAAATCTAAATATTTCCCTTATTATCAGCCAACAACCACACCTGTGCACCCTTCCGAAAATCTTTCTTCTCAACTTCAGGTAACATATGTTCAGAATACCTCCCACTTCCATGTGGACCAGGATCCTCAAAGCTGCAGAAAAGAGGATTACTGCTTATTACTTCTATCCAAATACAAATACAAATACAAATTCACATGAAAATGATTTTGCACTGTGATGAAAATCACTCTGACACCATCAACACAAAAGGCCATAAAGAATCAAACCAAACAAACCAGAATAATTAATATTTTTTTGCAATATATGACTCATTTTCAGAGCTATCTACTAGTTGAACTATGTTATGTCCTGTGGATTCATTTCACCCTCTCTGGCTTGCAAGGAACTGTGCAAAATGGTTATTATATTGGAAAAATGTTCTTACAGTAAAAATAATTCCACTAGAAAATTTGGAAGAATATAGAATATGTGGTTAATATATACAAAGTTAAATAAATTCTTCAACTTAACAGGAGATAAACTCCTCATGTAAACCACTGGCAATGTAAATGAAAACATGTTAGCCTTCAGAACTTCAAACCCACTTTTGATAAGAGTGTGTACTGAGTTCAAATACCTTTAGAGTTTCCCAACACCAAAATGACTTGACAATTGGACGAATACAAGGACAAATAAAAATATTACCTTAAGGAAAGACATAAACATGATGATAAATTATCTCTGCTATTAATATTAGCCCCTGTTTGGTTTAGATAAAAATCAGAATCTTAGATTTTGATAAAAGTTGATAAAATGTGTTGGTTGAAAAGTTTTAAATCTCATGAAATATGTGGCTAAAGTTAAATAGTGACTTCAATTTTTCTAGCCGACCCAAATAGGGGCTTAGCTAGCAATGAAACAATAAAATATTAAGCAGTTTAAACAATAAAATATTAAGCAGTTTAAACAATAAAATATTAAGCAGTTTAAACAATAAAATATTAAGCAGTTTAAACAATAAAATATTAAGCAGTTTAAACAATAAAATATTAAGCAGTTTAAACAATAAAATATTAAGCAGTTTAAACAATAAAATATTAAGCAGTTTACTTTTAAATCTTGTATTTTTTTCTTAATGATGTTAAATTCTCATTTTCCTTCTATCCAACTTTGGACTAAAGTATTTATTATGGTCTTGTATGTAACACTACATATTCCAATTCTGATGTGTAATTAAATTTTATTACATTTACAAGAATGAAACTTAATTTTTTTTGCATCAAGTAGCTGAATGAATTTTAGTCCACTTTTCATATTATTTTCACCAGGCATCTAAACTTCAAATGAACCCAGATCTTGACGGCATCTTAGAAGCTGCCCACATAAACATTGATAAGGAACAAACAGCAGGGTTACCTGTCTATGAAGCTTGTATTTGTGTACATGAGATAGTTGTACACATAGTCAAATTCATGCAATGGTATGCAACTGCATTTCAGAAAAATATTTAGTTGAAAAATCATAAGTGACATGAGTTTTCGCAATTGGGAGAAAGAAAGGACTTGACAACAACATCATCATCCAGGCACCTGTCAGAGAGTAGAACAAAATGCTGGTTGTCAGGATCTTTGAGTGCATTTGCTAAAAGCCTTCTTTCTGCATTGACCATTGAAATTTTTCCCCATGCTACCTGTAAATATTAACCAGCAATCAGCATTTAAGACTATCATAAAATGCTGCATTAGGAGAAGGAAATACTGTAATAGTAGAATATTCAGTCAGTAGAACTATGGCAACAATATTACAATACAAAAATCATTTTGCATGAATTTAATGTTCGACTTTGAACACCCATTGAGTGTGCTCAAGTTAGCAGTAATAAACAATGCACAATCAATAGATTTTGCGAGAATCTCTAGATCTGCTAGTCTCACGTACAAAATATCTTTCACCCAAAATGAAAAAAAATATATAATAACAATAACAACAACAACAATAATAATAATAATAATAATAATAATAATAATAATAATAATAATAATAATAATAATAATAATAATAATAATAATAATAATAATAATAATAATAATAATAATAATAATAATAATAATAATAATAATAATAATAATAATAATAATAATAATAATAATAATAATAATAATAATAATAATAATAATAATAATAA